AACAAATCCACACTTGGTACAATGTCTCCAGAACCTGAACTCATTATCTTAGCTTCATTCAAAGCTGCCTCAGTTTGTGTTGTGTTGTGATAGTGATATAACTTCTCAGGATATACCAGGCTATATATCTAACTAGGAATAAGGCCCATTGTGGAAATAAATACAATGAACTCTAGCAAGAGGCTCTGGGCAGGTGCCCTGGCCTTGTCTTTTTTGTGGTGTGGCATGGTTGTGTTATTGGGTTTGTTTCTTTTGAAGGGAAAGTGATGTGTTGTGAGTGAGAACATATTTTACCTCAGAATACACCAGGTCGCATATGCAAGTGACAGTTCCAACTGTCTCGTGGGGGGGGGGGGAGTTTGAGGTGCGGAATGGAGTGAAGTCCAATCAGCTTCCATATGCAAATGACCTTGAAATGCTGGCCCAATCAGAGAAGAGTGGCCTAGGCTGCAGTGGGTGGGAGAGAACTCAGGCAACACAGCCAGTGGATAGAGACACCTTGTGATTGACACATCACGGAGCCAACTGATTTTGGAGTGCATAGAACTTTGTGGGACCAAAACTCAATTATATGTAAGGACAGGATAGGTGCCAGGGCATATGGGAAGGGGAACATAGAGGCATTTCTTCTCTCACAGAGCCTCACTAGTTTAATAATTTAATTGTTCCAGTCTGTCATTTTATTTCAACTTTATTTCTATAGCAAATAGTTTTTATTGTGTCCATGAGATTATATCCTTAGGTAATGGGCAGGAAACAGGACAAAAAGGGCTACTGAAAAGCCAAGTGAAAGCTCTTACTGAAATGATAAAAAGACAAAGAAAAGAAATTTTATCAACAGGCCAGCATTCAAAATTATTTTCATTTTTGTTTATAGGTGGCAAAAGTAATTGCTCGGTATTCAAGAAGCCAAATCTTTGACAGTGTTTCTATGAAATCACTAGTTGATCTAGATTTAAATCTCTTCAGTCTGCCCATAGCAAAATCTTAATTATGCTGAGGTCAGAGAATTCCCATGTACTTTAGTAGAGTTGTCATGCATATTCTACCACATTTGTAGCATGATCCTAATTATGCTTCCTTTACAATGTCCCGTTGATTTAAGTTATCTCTACATTTTTTCTATAGTAATGAAAGTAAACTAGCTACTTCACAAAGAGTTTTTAAAACTCCGGACTTAATCTCTGTGGCTGCATTCAGACAGAACTTTTTAACTGGAATTCAGCCAAGATGTGCACAAGCCTGGCTTGTTGCCAGCCTTGTATTCCAGACATGCATGTACACTTTGCTTTTCCCTCCTTCATTCCTCCCTTCTCACATGGAGAATCTTGGTTATAAACTTCTTCTGGTACCATGAGATAAAAATACAAGTACAAGATAGATTAAACTCCAGTTCAGAATCCTGGTTCATGGGGGAAAGTTAATTCTGGTTCACCAGCATGTTTGCATCTGTGCATTGTGGGTAACAGCAGTTAATTTCTGACCAGGATTCTACATATGACAAAGGAAGAGGAAAGGAAGAAGGAGCAAGGCAATAAGCTAGATTTGTGTACATCCTGTCTTCATGCAGATTAAATGTGACATCGAATGCAATATATATTTACGGTAGGATCAGTAACATGAGAATTCAGTGCTGTTTGCTGCCATGTATAGGAATTTAGAATTGGATCCCTAATGTGCTTTCAAAGGAATAGTTTTTTGTATCAGGTGTACTCAATCAGTATAAGCCTGTGTAATGGAGAAGCACACTCCCTTTTCTTAATGTTTTACTGTTGCCATTTTGTGTGCCTTCTCTGATGTTCACCATATACATTGTCCAGGAGATTTTCTGTCTATCCCCTTAGACAAGTAAGTACTCCTAATACATGCATCCTCTAGAGACAATGGGAACCAATTATCATTAATTATTGGCCCAAACCTGGTCCAGGTTGTGCCTTTGCACATCCCACCTCACCTCTAAACTGGCCAAGGAATACATTTTGCCAGACTTTACAGTGCTACTGCACTCCTGGTTTGTTTTGCTGTTAGCATTTTATTTATTTATTTATTTATTTTATTAGATTTTTACCCCGCCCTCCCAGCAAAGCCGGCTCAGTGTGGCTTACAACAATATAAAACAATTCATTAAATACAAAAACTGATAAAACCCCAACATGAATTTAAAACCATAAACATACAACATAATAAAGTGCTAGCATTAGTTCTCAAAGTTTCTTGATCTACAAATGTCCCAGGCACTCAGGTCTGCTACAGATGTCCCAGGCACTCGGGTCAGGTTATACTTAGGGGCCCAGAAAGTGGGACTTGCACCCCGAGGACTATCAGATGTCAGTGGCCTGGCAGAAGAGCTCCATTTTTCAGGCCCTGCGGAGCTGTAACAGGTCCCGCAGGGCCCTGATCTCCTCCGGGAGCTCATTCCACCAGAGTGGAGCCGCCACCGAAAAAGCCCTAGCCCTCGTTGAAGCAAGTCTGGCCTCCTTGATGTTTGGGCGGACCAGCCGATTCCGGGTCCCCGATTGCAGTGCTCTCTGGGGAACATATGGGGAAAGGCGGTCCCTCAGGTATGCAGGTCCCTGGCCATAAAGGGCTTTAAAGTCATAACCAGCACCTTGAACCGAATCCGGTATTCTAGCTGCCTTCAGGGGTTTTAAGTCTCTTCCCTGCAGTTTATGACTGATTTCCTTAAGCCAACAGGAACTATTTGATCTGCAGGCAAATATTTGCAGTGCATCTGCTCACCAATTGCAAAATGCATCAATCGGATGGGGGGGATCTGTGGAGAGCAGAATAACATTACCTTATGGCCATAGTTTAGAGTGGCCAGACACCCACACAACAGACTGAATCAGACCCTTGGTCAATCCAGGTCAGCCCTGTCTACTCAGATTGGCAGCAGCTCTCCGGGGTCTCTGAGGTCATTGGCAATTGTTACCCAAATAGGTCTACATGTGTCAAGGCTGTATGTTCCCTTGCTAGCACAGAGCAAACGTGTGTTTTGGGTACTTTTAATATACTTGGGATCTTATCCTGTGTATGCTGAGGTCCAGACTTAGATCAACACTCAGAAGAATGACGAGAAAAAGGCTCTTAGGGTTTTTATTTTATAAACCAACAAAAAACAAATTATGCAATGTAGAAAAAGCGTTAATAAAAATTACAGAAAGGAATACAAAAGCAATAGCAATGTGGTAAATGACATGCACACACACACACACACACACACACACACAAAAACCCGTTCCTAAAAAAACCCTGCCTACCTACTGGGGAATAAAACTAAAAGGGAGAAAACAAGACATGCAAGTCTGCTCTTGGAGAGAAGGGGTGTTGTCCTCAGCAGCAATGAAGTAATGTTGGAGAATGAAACTGACAAGGCAGGGGAAGGAGGCATAGGTACAGGACTGTGAAGCGGAAAGGCGGGAGGCCTATCAAGAGGATGGGGTAATGAGTGAGTCCCAAACCAGCTACAAAAAGTGGGTCTGAAGTGTAACTCTTTCTCCTCTTGCTGAGACTAAGGAGAAGATGGTCAACATCGAAATGTGGGAATAATAAAAAAATGATTTTTTGGAAATGAGCCATCCTGAAAGTAAACCCTTTGTCTTTATTGTGGAGAGCAGTTTTCTCCTTTTGCATGGAGAGTGTCTGACATGTTCCTTTGGGTAGGTTTGGAAGTTAAATTTGGCTGGGTACTTGTCATGATTGGGGAAGGGCAGAAATCCAGTCATTGAGATATGGAGGAAATTGCTGGAATCAGCCCATTACTTAGTGTTTTGAAGATCTCCATCATTAGTTAGTATCAAATTATCTGGGAAGAGGCTCAGAAATTGTTAGGGAAAATGACCCTCAACTGAATTCGTCTTAGGGTAGGTATTTGCAGGTCTGATAGAGGAGCTGCCCCACATTCCTTTCTGCCTTAGTGTGCTGCCTTTTTGATATCAGTTTAATTCAGACTCCTCCTGTCAATCCTAGGCTCACACTCAAGTGTACATGTGTACAAGAAAAGGGGGCACACCCCATACTTAGAATTCGGTTCTCAAATGTGAGGGCCTCAGTGGCATCAGAGTTATGTTGTTTATGATATTATTGTCTTATTTTTATTTTGTGAGTTGCTTTAATCAGATCCATAGAGATGCGGCATGTTTACATTTTCTAAACAATAAAAGCTCAAACAACTGATTGGGAGAAACCACCCTGAAGCTTCTCCACCCACTAATTCTGGGGCTCCATTCTTTACATTTGCTTAGGGTCTCAGAATCACTAAGATCCCTCTTGGTCTGATTCTGAGTGTTGAACAAGATTAAGTTCATCTGCTGAACAGGTTCACTGAGAAATTTGTGGCATCCCTAAACTCTGCAAAACTCAACAGAGCAGCACAGAAGGCACAGTCCAGTAAGGTTCCTGTTGAACAAAAGAGTCATAACAATCGGGACTTCTTATATTGTGATACTCTGGTTTTGCTACTACAACATGAAACTAGCCAAAGGGGAAATAGCAAAGCGGTGAAGCCTTTTGAGACTCAATATTTACATGTGGGAATATTCCAGTCTAAAAATATGTAAATAAGGAAAACAAAAATAACCAGGCACTTTCTGCCATACTTAAGGCTATATAGAGTGTGATCAAGCCACACTGTACTAAGACATTTAGAGTTGAGTCCAGTAGCACCTTAGAGACCAGCAAGAGTTTCAGGCTGTAAGCTTTCAAGATTCAAAGCTCCCTTTTTCAGACACAGTAGTCTGAAAGGAGCTTTGTCTTTCGAAAGCTTACACCCTGAAACTCTTGTTGATCTCTAAGTTGCTACTGGACTCAAATCTAACTGTTCTACGGCTGACCAACACAGCTACTCTCTGAAACTGTATTAAGACATGTTAATATTAATTTATGTTAATAAAGTAATACATTAAACTGTTATATAATGTCATGTTAATTATCTTGCTGTAGAATTCTAACCAGTGTTTTATTTTTACATAGTGAAAGTGGTTGTTTTGTTTTTGCTTTAGCATGGAACAGTGTCTTAAGGAGCTACAATCAGAAATAAATGAAACTTGTTCAGACGAAGTGCTACAGGATACAACTGACTGTCTTCAGTGGTTAAATAACTGCAGTTTCAGCTCAGTTAAACCTTGTTCTACACCTCATGGAGAATTGGTCAAGTTTCTTCAAGCTCTGGTAAAAATAATGCTATTTTTACAGAATGACTGAAAAATCTTTTCAAATGTATTGGACTTGTTTTTTTTTAAATCATTCTCTGGGTAGTTTGAGAGTTTGTTGATGTAAATGCTGACAGCAAACTAATATATGTTTTTAATATTGGTAGTATGTACCGTGTTTTGTTGTAGAAGAATTCTAATATTCAAAAACTAATGCTACACTTAGTAACAGCTCTCAGCTAAAGGTAGTCTAATAGTTCTTGAAAGGTATTTTTCTGGCAGTTAAGGTCTTGAACAGTTTAATTCCTCTGACCACACATTTCCCCAAAGAATTTTTTTTTTCTAAAGGAGGAAAGAAACACTTCTGTTGGTGGTTGTGGAAACATGGATAATATGGTTGAAGCTGGTTAGCCCACAGAATCTTGGGAGGATGGGTGGAAATCCCTATTTGACTATGAAGGTCACTGGATGGCCTCAGTGAATTGCTGTCTCTCAAGCTACCTTTCCAGAGAAGATTATGGTGTGTGGATGTAATTAAAAATATTCACCGAATGCTATAAGTCTGAATCCTTATCTGTTAACAGTGAACAATCAAAGATAACAGTTTTTCTAAGGCCAAATACACGTGCACTATGACATGGTTGACTGACCCATCCTTTTGAACAATCTGCTCATTCAGTTACCTGGCCTTCCAATTTCATCCCTCTTTCCTGGAACCTGCATTACAAGCAACCTTCAGCCAGTACCAGAATTAATATTTCAGCTACTCAGAGATTCCTTTCTTCCTTTGGTGGTTGTTACATTCTCCCTCTGAGGTGGCAGACATTGTATGGATGATTCCCACCATCCACTTAGGGAAGCAGGAACGAAATTCTTCCTCTTCCTGTGACATGGGAATCACCCATCTCTTTCAGTTTCTGTTCCTTCCTCAAAGGGAGAGTAGTTCTACAGTCAGCTCTGCCTACTATTTAGACTTTAAATCTCTTTACTTTCTCTTCCCCATTCTATCCTTATACTAATACCCAAGTTGCCCCCTCCGTGCGGATATCTATATCTGCACTTTGGGGGCACTTGGGGGGCAGGGGGAGGTTTGTGCACATGTGGGGCAGTCCCCACATGTGCACAAAAAGAAAAAAGTTAAAAAAAAATTCGTGGGGATGTTTAAATCCCCCCGAAAGTGACAGAGCGTCCCCTGCACATGCGCAGGGAACGCTCTGTAGCTGGCCGCGCCGCCGCCGCCTCCTCCTCGGAGCCGGCGGGCGGGCGTAGGACCGGCCTCGCCGCCGCCTCCTCCTCCTCCTCGGAGCAGGCAGGGC